GTTTCCTCATATTTGGGAAGTTTCCTCCTATTACTTCTGCCCATATTCTTTTTGTATGATTTTTATTGATTTAATCTTTCTCATTGATGCCTATTAGTCTCACATTGTTCATCTTTGCATCATCTTGCAAGTGATGATTTATTTTTTCCTGCATCTTAGTTGTTTTTAAGAGATCTTTTCTAATGTTTGTACTAGCTGCAATGGCATCTGCAAGATCTGAAACTCTTATCTTCACTTTCCCTCAAACAGTTTTGCAAGCTTGTGATTGAGATTTTAAATTCCCATAAATTGCTTTAACTTTGCTTCATGTGATCTGTTTCTTTCCTGTATTTCTCATTGAAGGATTCTATTGTTTTTCTAATCTCCTTTGGGTTTTTTTTTTTTTTTTTTTTTTGGTCAGTGTCTTCTGCAGAAGCAGTTATTAATTCTTTTACTACAGAGATTGTTTCTGATCTGATTTCCTCTATATGTTTCTGCATTTGATTCTTTAGTTCAGATGCTATTAATTTAGAGATTTTTTTTTTTAATTTTAGAGGTTATGTCTGATCTGAGTTCCTCTATGCCTTTCTCCAGTTGTTTCTTTTGTTCAGACAATATTGATTCAGACATTTCACCTATATGATTCCCAGTTTCTTCTGTGCTACTGTCCTCTGCACTTGTTCTGTGTGGGCTCGGGGCCCAAGATTGCATTTTGCTCCTTCTCTTTGTCATTTTGTATAGCACTGTCCGCTGACCTTTGGTGTAGAGCTTTGGTGCAATTATAACCTTAGTACCTACTGAAATTTGGGTACAGATCTATTAAGTTTGAGTTCATCCAATTGTGCCTGGCTTGGGTCTAGTTGTTGTGCTCAGTTCCTTCTTGCTGTAGCCCTTGGAATTGAACCTGTTTTTCCCCTCTGGCAAGATGTTTTCCTCCTGGATTAGTTGGGTGGTTCTGACCCCTAGCCTTTCTGCAGGGACTTCAGCTGCAGAGTTTCACCCCAGGCCTGTATGCCAGGCCAGAGCTAGTTCTGGAGGGGACTGGAGGCACAAGGGATCGCAGAAGCTCTCCCTTACTCTCTCTGGGGCTGGGCTTGGGCTGGGTCTGGGGCATCCCGAGAGTGCAGCAGAAGTTCTCACAAGGCCGGCTAGGTGGGGCTGTGGACGGGTGGAGGGGTCCCGAGATCACGGTGGAGTGTCTCATGCGGCGGGCCTGGGCTTGCTTGGGAGAGGCCCAACAGATGCAGCAGACTGTGGAAGGTCTCCCACACACTCGCTGGGCCTGGGCCTCGGCTGGGTCTCCCTAATTTTAAAGCAAAGTATTTTTTTCAGATTTATCAAATAAAAACACAAAGGAAGTCAAATAAATGCTCCATATTAATAGAGATACTGTAAGTCGAAAATAGGAAAAATCTAAAATTGTGTAATTTGTGGGCCAAAATGAAATAATGGAAACTATAAAATATTTATAAATAAAGGACAATAAAACTTGTGGTATGTAGTTAAAACAGAATTTTAAGACTCTTATAGCTTTGAGCGGTATATATTAGCCAGGCATGGTGGTACACATCTGTTGTTCCAGCACTTGGGACACTGTGGTGAAAGGATCAATATATGTTCAAGAACTATGTAATAAAACTTGTCTCAAAACAAGACATATGTATTAAAAGGTAGGTAATAAATGTTTTTGGTGCAGGAGGTTGAACCCATGACGTCACAAATTCCAGGCATGTGTGCTCTATCACTGAGTTACAGTGCCAGCCCTTGAAAGTGAATTTTATAAAAATGACAACAGTAAAAAAAATATTGCCAACTCAAAGTAAGCAAAGCGAAAAGTAATGACAAGAAAAGGTAAAGGAAATGTAATTAGCAGAAATAGCACAATAGAAAGGATCAATAATCCTAAATTCTGGCTTCTTTAAAAATACTTTTAAAAGAAATCAACCTTTAGGAAGACTGATAAATTTTTAAGTTAATATTAGATCATCTAAAGTAAATTTATTACAGATCCACAAGTTCAATCAGGTTAGTTGGTTTTTAGATGCTTATTATATTATGAGTTTTTTTAGGAAAACTTTGCAATGACATGAACGTAATATTAGGCGTCATGATCCAGGCATTGCCTATTGCTGATCTGAGGCCACTTGCATTCATAGATAGCAAAGCTGTTCTATGGACCTAGTGCCAAGTGACTGGTAGTTCTTGCTGTGTGCATGCTTGGTAGAAATGAAAACTTGGTCAGTATAAATAGTGGCAGGAGTAAACTGTGAAAGCAACATCATCCTTCTGAGATTCCTAAACTTGAGAACATGAGTAAAAGTAGACGTGCATTCTGGCTTGATCCGAGATACTAACAGCCTTCCCCAAAGGCATGTGGGAAGTGCCCTCAGTGAAGACCGGGCATGACCTAGGTCTGCCTCAGAGCCCTTGACTTTTGATAGCACCTTTTCTTTTGCTTGAAATATTGACAAGTTGCAAGAAAAGGCATTTTGTTAAGTTTAGAATAAGTAGATTCAGTATGCAGTTTTTACTACTTCATTTAAAACAACTGACTTCCTTTGTTTTGAGTGGTGTTTTATTCAAAATAGTCAAACTATCTGTTCTACAAATTTATTGGTTATTATTCTTCATCTTGATAAGCACAGTATTCTAAAATTAATATTGTGAGGAAAATTATGTCATTAGATTCTTCTTTTCATATTTCTTTTTCTTCCATCAAAATAAATGGCTCAATTTTCTTCTGTTCCAGAGCATTGTCCCTCTTCTTTTTTAAGAGTCCTTGTTTAATGATTTTAGTGATGAATTTACATATGATTTGGCCATAATATCAGTAATTTTCCATAATATAGCAGTTTGCATCACACTGCTGAACCATTTTTGAGTTAATCTTTCCCTCACATGAAGACAGGAAGTTTGTAGTGTAATACCTTAGCCAAGACCAGATAAATACATAAGGCAACAGTGCTTTTGTTTTCCTGAGATCCTTAAATGTTCTTAGAAGATGAATACATGTGTGACAAGTGCTTTGATCCCTTTCCACTGGCCAAGCCTTTGAATTAGGCTTGGAAACTAAGCAGGCTACTAGGCACATTTTCATCTCTTTAATAATATTGCTACCATAGTCTCTTCCTTCATAAGATGATTAGCTACTTCATATTGTCAATTTTTTTACTACTTATTCATGATAATGTCTTACAGAAATAATTGGTTACACCTATAACTATATGTAGCAAATGCACATGTCTCATTTGATTCTTACTGTTATTATCTGATTGTATTCTTACAGGTCTATAGATGTTTTCTCTAGAGATTCACACAGGGACCCTGGAGTCAGCTGAGATAATTTGACCAGGCTGCAGAGATAGGATGAATAAGAAAGCTCAGTGGTCCTCTCTTTGGATTTGTATATGCCTTCTCCATCTGCAGTGTAAATATGTGTTTATAAATGACTGCTAAATATATAACTGTTGCTTTATCCTGCAGTCCTGTGACTAAATATAGGCAATAATTAAAATAGTTGAACATTTTTTTATAGGCTCAATACTATGTTTAAGTGAATAAGGAATAATTGCCTTATATCTTTCCACAGTATTTGCTTACATGTATCACATCTGTCCAAATCATTTCATAACTTGAATGATGTAGATCTGTAATGTGTATTCATTTTCTTAACTAGATTATAGAATATGCATTTTGAGTTTGTATGTGTCTGGGTCCAAGTCTAAGCTATTTTGCTAATACTTGGGAATGATTTGACAGGACATTGACAGAATCGATTCCTAGGCAATTCCTGATTCAGCTTCAGGTTACAGACCTGCATTCATCCCATGCACCAAGAAGAACTCTGGCCCCCTGGGCTGCCACATACCTGTGATGAACAAGAAGAATCCAGGCCCCCTCACCTTGCTCTTCAAAGATTGTCACCTCTCTAACATCCTTCACTAGATGTCTCCCTTATTGCCTATCTTCTTTAACACTCCCTGGGATGTCAGCTTAATTTGTAAGTGGACAAGGCATATTTTATGGGGAAAATTTGTGTAAACATTAAGTACATATACTATGCCCCCACACTCAGTTGCGCCTCCTTATTTTGAGGCCTAAATGCAGGGATTGAAATATGGAACAAAAAGATAACTGTACTGAGCATGTACAGATTGTCCTTGTTATTATTATCTAGACAATACAAGATAACAACTATACAACATTCACATTGCATTACTGTAAGTTATCTAGAGATTATTTAAAGTCTATGGAAGGATGTGCCTAGTTTATACCCAAGTTCTGTGCCATTTTATATAAGAGCCTAGAACATCATGGAATTTGGTCTCTGTCGTGGGTGAGGAAGGGACTCCTGGAAGCAGTCCCTGATGGATACCGGACACAAAGAAATAGCTGTATACACACACACACACACACACACACACACACACACACACATTTCTTTCAATTTAAGATTCCCTCCTTTAGCTCATGTTACCAAATTTTCTCACCTGTGAAATGGGTGTAACATTTTATGGCAGTTGATGAGATCTGCTTTAGAAAGGCTTAGTGCTCAGAGATGGTTGAGAATTACTTTTGTTGACATCATTGGTGTCTTTAATCTGACCTGCTCTAACTAAGCTGCACATGTACATATGCTTGGTTATAAAATACCTACCTGCAAAATGTAAATATTTTTCTTTTCTGGTTGGGGTGTGTGTGTGTGTGTGTGTGTGTGTGTGCATGTGTTTTCCAAATAGGCTTTTCCAGAGCTAATTTGTCTGCAAAAAGACATATGCTTTAGGTCTGGACTTGTTAATTTACCTTGGAAAAAATAGGTCATCATCAAATCTGGCAGTGTGGTTTATAAACTTGGCAACATGGTCTAATTAAAAGCTTCTCTTAAATTAAAAATGGAAAAATGATTAGTATCAGTAATATTTTTGTTTTCATGGTTTCAGTATGTAGGTATATGTCACTTCTCATGTTGCATTAAAAGTATGTTGACTGTCTGCTAATAGTTCATCTCTTTTCTTCTGCAGCCTCCAAGTCTGTTATAAATAGTATGCTACGGGACCCTTCTCAGATTCCAGATGGAGTTCTAGCAAATCAGGTCTATCAGGTATTAATCACAGCTGTCTGTTTTCAGTGGCAGTGCTGTTATCTGCCTAGCAGAGTAAAGGATTTTAAACCTCATTTAATTACTGTCATCATAAACTATCACTGAGGTCAGGGTGCACTATAAATGGCAATGCAATATTTGTGAGAAGAGCATTTCACTTTTTAATAGCTTGCTTTTATAGTAAATAAAAAGCATGCAATTTTTGTTTTCTGTGATTAAATCTGAATAACCTTTTGATCGCTTTCTTTTTTGGGGTAGGGGAAGAAAAGTAATTACTGCTTTTAGGATGTTTACTGTAATGATTTTTGTAGCCACCCCATCCCAGACCCCTTCTCTTATTTGTCTGCAGTGCATTGTGAACGACTGCTGTTATGGACCATTGGTGGACTGCATCAAACAGTATCCTTTCCCATAAAATTTTAGGTGCACAATTGACGAGCTTAGGCTCAGAGGAGGAGATGTGTCTAGCTTAACCTGACATAAAGTTCTGCTTCACAAAACACATTTCATACTCTTCTGTTTTACATTCAATCAACTGGAGGGTCACTGCAGACTGTTCTCTCTGACAGCTTAAAAATCAGATAGACCACAGGAAGATGTCAGTGCAGCAGCAGCTGGCTCACTTGCTTATTTCAAACTGTTTAGTTTTAACGAGTTTAAAGGTACAGAGTTATTAGACAGGGAACATAGTGTCTTGTAAAGTATCTAATCGTTCCAGTGACCACTTTGAAAAATGTATAACAGAGTTCCATTTAGAATGAGCCAAATTCAGTTGAATCTCCTGGAATAAATTTTGAGTCTCGAGTTAAAGGATGATGTTATTAAAATGCTACTAGAGACTATTATATTTGAAAGGACAATGGATTTTTTGTTGCTTTAATACTGATTACAATCTGAGCTGTCATTTAAGTGCCTAATAAACATTTTTAGAGAAACCATGCAAATTTTTTCTTTGGAACTGGACTTAAAGCCATGAAAACAGATGCTCAGTCATTCTTCATTAAAAACTTTAAATTACTAAATAGTTAATGTTTACTTCTTAAAACAGGATTGGGGGCTGACAAGGTAACTCAGCAGACTAAAGCACCTGCTTAGGCAAGTTCAGGGACTGTGGTTCCATCCCTGGCTCCACATGCTGCACCAGTCCCGCCCCTCGGCTGCGCTGAGCCAGCCAGAGTCCAGGCCTAGTAGTGCACGCTTGTAATCCCAGCATTAGGGAGGCTGAAAGCAGAAGGATCACCAACACGAGTCCAAGCTGCATAGTGAGGTCCTGCAACAACCAAATACATTAAAAAATGTTTAAAAAACCATCAGGATTAGGTAGATGGTAGCCATTTCATGAAGCAGGACATTATTAATAAAATTTAGTATTTTAATAATAATGAAAATTTTGATAACATTTGACTAAAATAATGTTTAAATTATTAGTAACTTTACTGGATAAACTGTATATCTTAGTCAATGATTACCACCTCTCAATATTAACATAGCCTTTCCGGGATAGGCTTTATTAGCATGGCTGGCACTGTGACCAGTGGTGACACAGCAGCTAAACCAATCTAGATTGTTGTTGAAAGCTGTTACAAGTTAAATGTCTGCAAATGTGTTTGCGTGTGTGTTCATATGTGTTTGCTTATATTCTTCCTTGTTTTATAAAGGCTTAGCTGAAATAAAATTTTGATAAAAATTTACTTTCTTTGCTAAGTAAAACTAAAATTTAGGAATAATCTAATAGCCTTCTCACAAGAACATTCAGTACCTAGATACAACCTTTTTGGTATATATTTCTAGTTCTAGTCCCCTACCTAGCCTAGAATAAAACACACTATTGTCACAAGCTTGCCTTTTTATTAAACTAAAGTAAAACTATACTTCTATGTATGTAAAATTAATGATAGCATTAGAAATTGTAGAAGTGTCAACTTCATGTTTCTGCAGTGATAAAGTCTAGCACATTCATATAACAACTAGCACTATCTCTGAATATCTGAAGCTGAATTACATGTTAATTTTAAAGCACATAAAATAGTTAAAAATCAATTTAAAGTTAAGGTCTTAAAAGCATAATGTCTTTTGAAGGATTGCATATTGATTTTAAATATAACTATCTAATTATATATGCATGGACTAAAGTATGAAGTCAACTGCTTTGTAAATGCCAGGAGGCTATTTTTCAGTAATAGTTGAGATGCTTACGGGAAACTAGATTGCTGTATTGCTGGCGAAGAAAATGGCTTGTGAGGTTATTTACAAGTTTTGCCCCATGGTCACTGCCATACATCAATAGTAAGGTATTCTTGTAGACAGAGTCTAAGTGTTTCTACTTATGGTGCATTATAAATTCCGTTTGGAGTATTTTCCTTACGTTTCTGTCATCTACTTGTCTTTTTTTGTGGCTCTGTTATTGTCTGTAGGATTTAATGCCGTAAAGGATTTCAATTGATAAAGATAATGGTGTATATCTATAAATTGTAGTCATTGACTGGATTATAATTTTTGAAATTCCGTTATGACTATTGCCAGAAAAATTGTTTTTATATGTTTTATTTAGTAGATCTTGCACTTTATATATGTTTGTGTCCCACAAAGCATAATGAAGTGGTATATCTTTCCAAAATCTCAAATTGGTGACTACTTTTACCATACAAATAAAACAGGCTGAGAAGTTTATTGAAAAACTGATTTTATTGTTGCATTGAAGTTGAGGCAATTTCATATAATGTAAATACATTTACAGTGATGTTCCCTCAACTGTTCAACAAAAATTATTTTATTTTCCACTAAATAAAATTTATTGGCTTTCTCTGTGAGGAAATGCCATATATGTAGCATCCTGATCATTTGGAAACATTTGTATTCCTTACTCTCAGCACATCATACCATCTCCTGAGAAAGAAAGCACACATTTGGTAAATCAAATGGTGTAAAATCTTTTTACTCCATTAAGAAATTTACATGTAGACATTTGTGTAAATACAGTAAAGCAAGTTGGTCCTTTACTAGGAGAACATTGCACAAAGCAGAGTAAGAAAGAGTATGTGGCCTTGTCCTTTCTCTTACTTTTAGTGTCTGCTATATATTTTCCTTCAGAGCCATGGTCATCCACATTTCTTCCACCACAGCTCACACTCATTGAGAAAAAAAGAAGTGAGAAACCAGCCACTTCAACATTCCCGAGTGTGAGTCCTGGACACAGCTATTAGACAAAAGTCTACCCAGGGAAGTAAGGAAAGATAATGATTCAGGAAGCTTCAAGTGCTGTGGCTTTCATTTCTGGGCCATCAGTAACCTCAGTTTCATGATTCAACATTTTGGATGTAAATAATTCACAACAATAAAAGTGAGAGCACATTTATGTGCAATAGAAGTAAATAATTTAGTTCCAAAATGTGGGATGCCCCTAGTAATGAGATACCATTGAGAGTTATTCATCTGATGTCTTCACTGGACTCTGAAAATGCATGAAATTTTGCAATTTAAAAGTTTGTGGTTTATATTAACTTTATTTCTCATTATCAATTAAATAAATCACAGCCGTGTTCATTGGGAAAGGAAGAAAAACAATAGAAAAGGGCAGCACTGACAATTTCCACTTGTTTTGATGGAAGGCATAAATGACTACATCTCTTGTCACCATAGGATTTAAAATTATGTTCACTTGTATGTATTAATAAAGGGCAGAATAATTCTTTAGAAGAAAAATGTTTGAAAGAGTGTAAAAATTTTATTTAAGATGAACTCTCAGCAGTGCATAATCAAAATCATAGTCTCTGGTAAGCCAAGGAATGATGTAACCAGGTTGACATTCTCAATGAAATGAAGGGTAAAGGTAATGATTCAGAGAATTATTACCAAACACTTTTGGCTGAATTAAAGTGCCAGAGTAAGATAACGCTTTTTCCAGACTTTGTGTGATGTCCTTCCTGTGGAAGGCATCCCTTTTTCAAGTCCTGTTATTCATTCTGTTATTTAGCAGCTGTGGGACTTCAGATCACTCCTTCCTAAACCTTAGTTTCCTTAGCTGTACGTGTGAGACTAATATTGGCATCTACTCAGATGGTTGTTGTGAAGGGTGAAGAAATGATATTCACGTACTTAGCACAAAGCCTTTGTATGGCTAGTGTCAGTTATTGTATAATTTTAATCCTTTTGACACTCTATAGAGGTTATAGGTAAGCTTATTCTCTCTCTTAGCCTTGCCACATGTAACTGCCTTGTGCAGGTTCTCAGTTCTCTCACATATAAAATAAAGCTCATAATTGCAAGGGTGAAATAACATACATAAATCACTCAATACAGCACCTGCATTGAAACAGTATATTTGTTCATGTGTTTATCTGTTTATCTGTGTATATGTAAAGGACTCTTGAATGGCCTCTGTGTGACACTCCTGCCTGGGTCAGTTACCTACATAGTATCTGCATTTCAGATTACCTACAGTCCCAAGTCAGTCCATCCTTTGGCTCTCAGGTCACAGAGGACCTCCAGCAGTTGATGGGGAGTGGAATAGAGGAGCTGCTTGTGCTGGCTAGGTGACAAATGTGAATTCACAGATTTACAGGACTCTGTAAGACTGGAGATTCTTTTAGGACAAATCTGGTGGTTAGTATTCTTAGCTGTAAGGTATGTGCTTAAGTAATGTGTACTAAGTTGAATTGAGAGATTTTTAGCATAGGTTAATGAGTGGAAATGTTCCCCCACCCCTCTTTTTTTTTTCAGAACCAGAGATCGAACTCAGGCCCTTGCACTTGCCAGGGAAGCACTTATTCCACTGAGCCATCTCCCCAGCCCTTTCCCCTTCTTTTTAAAACAACTTAAAATCATACCCATTTATAAATCCTTGTTTGCCACAATATGTAAGCTTTGGAGAGAAGTCCATTGTATTTTTCAAAGAGAGGAAGAATGTGGTTGGACTTTAATTCCTCAGAGATGTGAGCTGCAGAACGTATTCTCAATTCTCCACCTCATATCAAAGTGTGGACCCAGTATTAGCATTTTCCTGATGGCACAGTGCTGCCTACATTGCTTTCCTTAACTAAACTTCCAGTGCTATTGGTCATGAGCATGAAGTCTTGCTGAGAGACTTGCTTCTGGAGAAAAACCTGTCCTTTCTAGGTGAGTATTGCTCTCATCTTTCCTAGCTGGTACTAGCTCTTTGAGTGCTTAAATATGTATTTTTAAATCTTCCAGCTGAAGTTATGTACAAAAGGAAGAGAGATGATGATTGATGCTCTGCATGTTATCTTTTATTGATTCTGAACTGAGCAGGAACTCACTTACCTAATCCCCTGTATGCACAGTACATACACAGGCTTGCAATTAATATTTTATAGAATAAGTAGCTGAAAAAATGCTTTAATATCTGTTGCAGTATTGCTTTTGGTGTCATGAGATATTAACCATAATCTGGGCTGTGTGAGAGAGAGAAAAAAAATACTGTCTGTAAAGTGCTTTCTATATTAAAAAGAATGGTTAGAAAAATTCATGTTAGGTATGTTTGTCTCATGCATGGAATTAGGGTAGTTCTACTTGAAAGCAAAATATTAAGCTTTTATTATTTTTATGCCAAACATTGATTGTCCTTGTGGATTTAGTATGATGGTTGAAAATCCCACATGTATGCATGTGTTTGTATGCCAGTGCAGAGTCTTATTGCAGATGGCTATTTCCTGGTCTCTTAAGAATTAGAACTTAAGTCTCAGAGGACAGGCATGAAATAGCTGGTCATGGAAACCATCAATCACCCTGTAGTGAATTTTTGTCTCATTTTATTTTATTTTAGCATTTCTCTCCTTAACTATTTTTTCTCCATTTTGAATGTGGTAATTTGTAGAGTCCATTCAAGAGTTATTATATGGATTTATTTTATGTAGATAGTGAGTATGGTATATTTTTTAGGAGAAAAAAGTAACGAGTGTTGAGTTACATAATTTGTATTTCAAATTAGACAACAAACTGGCCAAATAAAGTCAAGGCATGTTTTGTCAAATTAAGATGTTTAATACAGTACTTCCATAAATCTATTCTGCATCATAATACTTAATACTTTTCTTAAGAAATTGGAAAATGGAATTGGATGTGTTGTAAGATTGATTTAAAAGGGGCAGTTGAGTTGTTCAACCTATGGAAATAGGATAAGTTGGGAAGAAATTGCCTTTTGAAAAATCTAAAAATAAAATGATAATCGATCAGAACCAATAGTAATGGGTGTCCATAATGCACCATGAGATGTAGTTCATAAACGTGGAGTTCTGATATTAAAAGAATTAGTAGATCATATTGATCTCCCAGTTAGTGATCACTGTAGACATATTCAAATCCAGCTGTTTTGCTTTTGTTTTTGTTTGTTTTCATCTTAAGCTAGCAGTGGAGAGGTTAGACTTTCAGAGCTTCTGTGTGGTACTCTTCTGGCACCCTCAGCCTGTGACCATCAGGCCCTCAGTCCCTTTTCTTTTTCTTTTTCTTTTTTCTTTTTCCTTTTTTTGTATTTTAGGGAAGGGTCCACAGGGTGTTCAAGGTCTCACTACTAGATCGGACTCATAGCGATCCGCCTGTTTACAGCCTCTCAAGAGCTGGAATTACAGGCGCGGACCACCATGCCCAGTCTCAATTGCTGTCTCAGCGTGCCCTGGGAGTGGGCTGGCACAGCAGGCCTGGGGATCGAACCCTAGGGCCCTGCGCCTGTTTGTAGGTGCTTTAATCCCTTGAGCTATTTGGCTGGCCCTAGCCCCTTTTCTTTGATTCACCTAACTTTTTTCTCCTTTCTTTCTGAGGCAAAGAGCTTCAATGCACCTTATTTTAGATATAGTTCCTGACTTATCTTAAGTGGGCATTAGACTGGATTCACCAAAAGCAATTTGGAAATGTGATCAAAAAATTATTTCCCCTTATCTACAGTGTTACAGAAAATAGATCAAAAATTGGAACTGTTGGTTCCCATGTATTCCTCTAGTCTGGGGGAAGTTGAGGTGGTTATTTTTTAGATGCATATCCAAAGTGTGAAATGTGACTGATCTTTAATTGAGTTCTAAGGCATTTAGCCAATTCCATGTAACCTGCATTCTATTTTGAAGCATTTGCTCATCTGCATACAAGAAATTGTTCATTTATTCTATGCGTAGTAACTTTGAATATAGTACTAATTTACTATAGTAACGTTGAGTTTGTTTCAGAAACTTTGCAAATATATTTCATTTTAGTTCTTTGATTAAAACCTCTCTTGGTTTCTAATCTGAATTACTTTCCACAGGAAAGTATTTTTTCATTGTTGACATATTGACCATTTTAAAAATTATGACTTGCCCTACAATTTTACCCTATTCTCTATTTTCTATGCATTGTACTTTATAGTTATTGTAATAAATACTCTTTTAAATTTCTGCTTTTTAAAAAGCCTCAGTAGTTACTAGAGATATTAATTTGTTTACAAAATATTTTAAGTCAGATTAACAGTCTTCAAGTACCCTGTAATCCAATTTTTCTTTTTCTTTTTTTTTCTTTCTTTCTTTTTTTTTGGTCTTCTTTTTCTACATGCTTGCAGTACATACAGTTTATAATCATCTTGGAGAGTAGATACATGTATATGATACAGCTTGGTTCTTTTTTTAACCCTCTCCCTCCTCCTCCTGTGAACCCCCTTATCTCATATCTATAAAAAGTTCTTAGGCTCCTGTACATGGCATCTCCTTACTTCCCCTTCCCCTCTCCCATCTCCTCTCAGCCTTCTGGACCTCTTACTATTTGCAAAAGATCAATCCCCTTGTTTCCTTCTGCCCATCCTTTATTGTGCTTCTGTTTGTACTTTTCCTTACTCAGTAAGAAATACTATACATCATTTAAACTTATGTGTCTTATTTATTTCATTCAACATCATGTTTTCCAGGTACATCCATTTTCTCAAAAATGTCTCAAATTCATCCTTCTTTATAGCCAGAAGTACTTCATTAATTATATACATCATATTTCCTTTATCCAGTCTTCTGCTTAGGATTTAGCTTTTATGAATCGTGCTGTTACAGACATTGGTATACACGTATCATTGCAGTATGATGTCTTTAGCTCTTTAGAGTAGACACCTTGAAGGGGGATAGCTGGGTCATACAGAATTTCTGATTTAGGTCTCCATACTGATAATGCATAATGGTTGTACTGGTTTACATTCCTGCCAAGAATGCATTGATATCCTTTGCCAATAGACAGCAAAAGCAAAGTAAACCACCAGATTTTTCCTGGGCTCACTGTTTTCTTGATTTCCCTCTTTCACATCCACTTACTGAGCCGTTGCTATGCCGTAGCAGTTGCTATGACATGCCACTAACCTGGCAGTATGGAAAAGAGAAAAAAAAGTGTCCTTGTCATTGGAAACCTGTTTGTACTTATGTGAAATTATTATCCTTACAGACATTTATATAAATAAGTTTTCTGTCTTAAAATTGTTCAAAGTTGAACAAATGCTTTTTAATTTTCCAATATTCATTTATTCCACAAATAAGTTAATGAGCTAGGTGCTATTATGAGCAGTAGACCAAAGTCAAATCATGTTCCAGCTTCCAGGGAGTTAAGGTCCACACAAGCTCCCCAAAAATGAATGCAGATAATTTTCTGAAATTTCTGGGAGTTCTTGTCTTTTATTCATTATATATTCTTTCAACATACATTTTTTTGTGTGTTTTTTGCATGCCGGGACTAAAACTGTTCCAGTGAGTGTGAAGATGATCAAGCACAAGCACCCTGCGTCCCAGCGGTGCACAGCCGTGTGCAGTCCTGTCACGCCTGCTCTAGTGAGAGTGGCGTGCTCTGCACAGTGCATCCCCCCAGACAGTTGCTCACTCCATTGTCTTCGTAGTGAAGATAAGTGCACCTATGGCTTGTGTTATGCTACTCTCATTAAACCTTTCTAAGAAAAGGCATATAGTACGCTAAAAATAAAAAAATTCGTTTCACAGGTAGAGGAAATGCTGCTGCCTCAAGAACTGATTTTACTGACGTGGTGATAGAACTGTACATATTCACCTGGTTTACCTCTCCAGGACCTTCTTGCCCTGTGTACTTCCAGGATGACAAGTTGCATTCATTAGTGGCACTCTTAGCAGCAGACTAACCAGCCCTTAAGTATGTTCCATCAAAAAGGCTCTTAAAATCTAAGTTGACTCAAACATGAGACCTAGGAAAATTTAAAATATATTTCAACAAATGTTAGTAGTTCTTTCTAGGGATAAGTAACTTAGATTTAACATGTACTGATCAACACCTGAGGTCTCAGAAAATGTAAAGAACCATTGGCTACTCCTCAGCTTTCACACATGAAGAATTCCTTAAACTTTAAATTGATCACTGAGCATTGTGAGTATCCTTACCACCTCTGCCAAGGATTTACCCCATTTCTCATATTAACCCAACAGAAAATTTAGGCTGCTGAGGAGGAGGTTGTAATTTATGTCTCTCAAAGGAATTAATGAGATTATGTTTTGTTATGTTGTATCTATCCTTTTGTTAGTTTTTGTTCTTGTTGTTTGTTTGTTTTAGTTAGCTTAAGTTTAGTTGGATATTTTTGTTTGTTTCTTTTTAGAGACTTGAACAGAAAGGGTAACAGGGGAAAGAAAAACAGTGACAGAAGATGACAAGACTGTTAGCACTGTTAGGAGAAATACGAAAGAGCTTGTGCCAAAGATGGAAGATAAACCACTCATCTTCCATGGGCTGGCATATCTCCAGGTCAGAGGGACCTTCGTTAGTGACTTCCACAGCCACTGTCTGGTGCAAATTCTTGTTAAGTTGGGCTTAATAAGGATGGCTCTGGAGATATTTTATTCTTTCCAGTGGATGTTATCCTGTTAGTAGACACTAACAATTATTTTGAGTGACACCTGAGAGGCATTTTCTTTAGCCCTGCCTTACCTCTTCCCCCTGTGTTTGGCCAAACTAGCATATTTTACATTGGTGCTTTTCTAACATTCATGTATTACTCCATGCGACTCCAGGAGGGTATAATCTATAAAGCCAAATAGGCTTAGTAAAGGATGTCCCTTGCTGTAAGAAATTAGGATCTTTGTTTCTAAGAGTTCATCTCTTCCTGCTGCTTTATTCCCCACTGAAAGCACTGGTGCTGTGCTGGA